CCTCCAAAGACGCAATTAATAATAACTTTGTTCATCCTTTTTGACTGTTTTACAAGGTGATGATGAGATTATTATGTACTTTCTTCTTTTCAAGATACATCCGAATTCGTGATGTTAGTTTTTTTTAGTCCAAATGTTCATTATCAATTCTTTCTTCAAATCTTACATATCCTGATTCTGATTTGGAGTTTGTAGCTCTTATTCTCGAATTAGAAAACGAAAGTGAAAATTAATTACTTAAAGACGTTGATTAACTCACAAATACTTGATAGGAACAGATTTTACATTCATAACTCGTTCTAAAAGATGCAACATATCACTGACAAACATAAAGGTCAACAGAATTTTATTAGGAACTGAGATCTCTCAAGCTCGTTCACCTCTGATTCTTCTAGCGAGCTGGATATCCTTGGGCATAATCGTGACTCTCTTGGCGTGAATGGCGCAGAGATTGGTGTCCTCAAAGAGCCCGACGAGGTAAGCCTCAGCAGCTTCCTGGAGAGCGGCGACGGCACTGCTCTGGAAACGGAGATCCGTCTTGAAGTCCTGAGCGATCTCTCTCACAAGCCTCTGGAATGGGAGCTTGCGGATCAGAAGCTCAGTGCTCTTCTGGTACTTCCTGATCTCCCTTAGCGCCACCGTTCCTGGTCTGAATCTGTGCGGCTTCTTCACTCCTCCGGTCGCCGGGGCTGATTTCCTCGCCGCTTTCGTCGCCAGCTGCTTCCTCGGAGCCTTTCCTCCGGTCGATTTCCTAGCCGTCTGCTTGGTACGAGCCATTGCGAAAGAGGAGATGTAAGAACTGTTTTAATTTATTTCTCGAGAGATTCAATGGAATAAGAAAATTGAAAGATCTGATTTATGATTTTGATTTGACAGAGAAATGGGGATATACATTGGGGGATTTATGAAGAAGCGGGGAAAATATTTCGCTTCCATTGTTTTTGGCGCCACTAGATCTGGATCGTTCATTATGTTTTAATCAACGGACATAAGGGGCTGATATCGTGATGCGCGTGAAATCACAACAGCCGTAGATTAAAATAAATCCTACGGACATATCTCGCTCTTTTCTAATGCCAATCCACGTGAAAGTGCGTCGACCAATAGAAACATTTACAGTGAATAAGGTTCATACTCCTAGTAAATAGTAAAAGTAAAACATCTGTAAATCGAGACCAATGTAAAAAGTTAAAAACCATTAAACACAAAAGTTCGACAAATAATTTTGAAATTAATGATCCAATGTAAATGATCTAAAAATATTATTTCTCCGGCGTCTTCTCTCTTCATTTCCGTTTGCCGCGACGCCTCTCCGTCCCACCGCCGGCGAGCTAAGTGTTTAGCCGCAGTTCCATCCCCGACGACTGATTATCTCTTGTTGGGTGCTGGTAAATAATTTGAATAGATCATCGTGAAATATGTATCATACTCCTTTTCCCATCTGAGACGCAGATGATTAGATTCGGAAAACTCAGTTTCGATTTCAGTTCCCTTTTCAGATTTTCTTCCTGAAAATGAAGATTCTTATACTCGTAATGCTTCTCTGCTACTCGTTTGCCTCCTCTTCCGGAGATACCACTATTCACACGAACAATTGGGCTGTCTTAGTCTGCACTTCTCGCTTCTGGTAAAACCCACAATCCTCTCTCATTCCTAAAGATTTAGTTCTTCTGCCTACGAGAAATCATATCCATCTTTCTCTGTAACATTCTTCATTTCAGTATCTCCATTTTTCTCAGTTTCCCAGATTGTGTCCGATCTTAATTCGTGTAATTTCTCGCTTTTTCAAGTCAATTGAGAGCTTTGTCATTCTTCCGATTCCTGAGTCACAAAAATCAGGGGAAATGAACATGAATTTCACAAATGGTGATAGGTTTTAGAGTTACGATTTGCGAGAGTTATGCTTAATTGATTGAGAGTGTTATGCTCTACTGAGAATTGAGAAACCTGTTCTAGTTACCAAAATCTATCCATCTTTCTGTAAGTGAAAGGTCTCGTCCTTATTAACCTATTGCTGTGGTTGTTATATCTCAGGTTTAACTACAGGCACATGGCCAATACTTTGTCCCTGTATAGGTGAGCTCAGTTTTTTTCCTAAATGGATACTTTTTGTTGGAATAATCTTCGCATTTTGTTTATAACGTCGTATACTCGCTACTTGGTGTTTCTAGGACAGTCAAGAGACTTGGAATACCAGACGAAAGGATAATTCTAATGCTGGCTGATGATATGGCCTGTAATGCTAGAAATGAATATCCTGCTCAAGTTTTCAACAATGAAAACCACAAACTTAACCTCTACGGAGATAACGTTGAGGTAAATTTCTTGTTCAAGGATACTTCTCAAATGGTTTAGCACAATCGTTTCTGTGTTTGCCATTTGATTGCTCACGCCTGATATAATACAGTCATGTTTATCCAAAAAGGGCTGATTTTATGAAACCATTTTCACTCAGGTAGATTATCGTGGGTATGAGGTTACAGTTGAAAACTTCTTACGGGTTTTGACTGGGCGTCATGAGAATGCTGTTCCAAGGTCAAAGCGTCTCCTCAGTGATGAAGGTAGTCATATTCTACTGTACATGACTGGGCATGGAGGTGATGAATTTCTCAAGTTTCAAGACGCAGAGGAACTCCAAAGTCACGATTTAGCTGATGCTGTAAAACAAATGAAAGAGAAGCGCAGGTGTGTTTCACATTCCATTCGTTCGGTGTTTTTAACCTATCCTCTACCTTTTTCCTGCCTATAGCTGTGTCATGGGCCATTTCTTGGTGGAACAAACATTATTCGTTACTGTCTCATCTTAGTTCAGTTTTGACGATCTAATGACATGATTTGGCTAGCCTAGATTCAAGGAGCTGATGATTATGGTTGATACTTGCCAAGCTGCCACTCTCTTTAACCAGGTACATCTTAGTGTCATCAGAGTTAGTTTCGTCTTCACTAAATTAGCATCTAATGTATTGTTTGGGCTTTTCTCCAATGTTGTTGATCTTGTGAAACAAATGCTTTCGTAGCTTCAATCTCCTGGTGTTTTGGCTATTGGTAGCAGTCTTAAAGGAGAGAACTCATATTCCCATCACCTGGACTCAGATGTAAGTGCCCTTCACTAATTTATGAATGGAAAGTACATTGTGATATTAAAGGGCTGATTATTCAACGGAATCATCGTATTGTGGATTGTTTCTTCTTTTAATCATTGTATTAAATTCTAAGATTGTTTTTTTCTTCAGATTGGTGTATCTGTCGTAGATCGGTTTACGTATTACACTCTTGCGTTCTTTGAGAGGCTCAATATCTATGACAATGCATCACTTAGCAGGTTCAATAACTATGCAACTCTTGGCACCAACATTCTGCTAAAACTGATCATTGTTAAAACTGATACGCCTTTTTAAGATGAACTCTCTGAGCTACAAACATTTATCCACCTACATGGTGTTGTGCAGTTTGTTTAGGTCCTACGATCCGAGACAGCTAATGTCTACTGCTTACTACCGGACTGATCTTTACCAACCAAATCTGATGGAGGTAAGGAGGAAACTGATTCTGAAATGACAAGTTTTAATTTCCTGTCAGCTTAAATTACTATTGTTTTGTGACTATTCACAACTAAGTAACCTTGTTATGGTATTCAGGTGCCGGTCACAAATTTCTTCGGTTCAGTTATGGAGACCATTCATACTGATTCAGCTTACAAAGCCTTCTCAAGTAACACCTCCAAGATCAATTCCGACATGCCTCTCAATCAACTTTCTGATCAAGATCTTCAGAATGCAGATATCCCTAACGATGAGTTGAATACTGAGGTTAGTGTCAAACTTGGGATTGATTACATAGATACTGGTAATATTAGAATCATGAATTTGAGATTTTTGTTGTTGCAGAAGCAAAAATGCCCATATACACAAATGCGGGCAGACCTCCATGAGAAACTAGAGAAGCTTGAAAATGTCGATACAGTGGTTAACCTCAGCATTGCGGTAATGGTTCTCGTTGTAATCGTCTCGTCATCTGTGATATGATGATATCTCTATGAGCAGCTCGTAACAGAGGATGATGATCATCTCAACTTCACTTAATCTCTGTTGTATGTTCTTCACTGTTGCAGCTTCATATCCTTGTATTACCTTTTTCACAATGCTTTCAATTTTCCTCTATACCAAGAAAGTATTGTCTCACATCACATGCTGAACCTCAAAATGTAAACAAATTTGAACAAAATATTGTTTATCATTTCATGATAACTGAAACATTATGCATTTGTGGTAAATTTAAATGTTACATATTGAATTTCATAAAATCGGGAATATTTTAAACAAATATATCACACATATAAAAAGTAGCATTTATTGTAAAAAGATGTTCATATTGACCCAAACTTTTTAATTTGACCAAAATTAATTTCACGGAATTACTTATCTATTTTGCTTTTTTTTATAGTTTAACCGAAACTCAATTACATTCCTCTATATTTCGATTCGGTTCAATTTTACCAAAAAAGAACACCTCTGATTGGTGCGGCTGACCAACCTTTACTTTGAACAAGAGAGCCACATAAGCCGCAACGCAACAAATGGTCATCTATCTCTCTCTCCTGAATCTGAGTCTGACTCTTTACTTGCTTCTTTAATGGCGCCTCAATTCTTAATTTTTAATTCAAGAGAGAGAGAGAGAGTGTGTGTAGTCTGTACACATCAAGCCACAACAGTATCACATTATTTTCACATTCCTCTCGCTCAAAACCTACCTGTACTCTCTCTCTCTCTCTCTCTCTCTCTCACTAATCCTTCATTTACTTTATTTTATTTCACATTTCTCTCTCTCCCCTTTCTTATGCTTTTGTATCACCACAGGCCATAATATTAATTAGTTGTCTCTCTTCGTTTGCAAATTGTAATCATCTGGGGATTCTCGTTGGAATCCACTACCAAAAAATTGCTTCTCCGAGATCTGACGTCCTCTCTCGTGTTTAGATCCGTCGGTGATGCCCTTCGGAGATGGCGAATCTAGTGCCTGGTGTATTGCTCAAGCTTCTCCAGCACATGAACACCGACGTCAAAATCGCCGGAGAACACAGGTCCTCTCTCTTACAAGTCGTCAGTATCGTCCCCGCGCTAGCCGGAGGAGAGCTTTTCCCTAACCAGGGCTTTTACCTCAAAGTCTCTGATTCCTCTCACGCCACTTACGTCTCTTTACCTGATGAGCACGATGATCTGATTCTCAGCGATAAGATCCAATTAGGTCAGTTTATTCATGTCGATAGAGTCGAATCCTCTTCTCCTGTCCCGATTCTCCGTGGTGTTAGGCCTATTCCCGGTAGGCATCCTTGCGTTGGTAGTCCTGAAGATATTGTAGCTACTCACTCTCTAGGGTTCCTCAGTGATGGCAAGGTCAGTGATAATGGCGGCGCTGTGAATAATTCCAATGGTTCGAAACCGAAAGAGAGAGCTAAGGCAACTTCCAAAGGAGCTAATGGGAGTGCAAGTGAGGGTGAGAGATCATTAGGAAATAGACCGAGTGTTAGCATTTCTAGAGATGAATCTTCCGATTGTAAAAAGCCGTCTGCTCTGTTGCGAGCGAAGTCTGCTAAATCGGGTTTGCTTTTGGATGTGAGGAAGGAATCACTGGGGAAGGTCAAGACTTCTTCTGGTTCAAAGTCTATCCCTTCTTCACCCACGAGCTGTTATTCGCTTCCTAATTCTTTTGCGAAATTCGCAAATGGGATTAAGCAGCAACAGCAGGTGAAGCCAAAGGTGCTATTGGAGAAAGGTTCTCCTAGAATGGGCTTGTCAGAGAAAGGGAGGTCTCTTCTCAAAGCGGAGACTCCGAATGCCGCTGGGAAAAAGCATCCCATGATGAAGAACTTCGTTCAGGGGATTGAGTTTGGAGCTAAGGCGTTGAGGAAAAGCTGGGAAGGGAATTTAGATATCAGGAGTTCCGATAGCTCAAAACTTAAGCTTACCAAACGTAGTTCAACCCCTGATGCCCGGAGTTTAACAGTAAGCTTTTCTTGGCCTTAGCAAAAGTGTATATCTTAGACATGTAGAGTTGCATTTGGACAATTTCGTTTTCAAATTTGTGAACATAGCCTGTGTAATTTTGGGTTCTAGGCTCCGCGGAAAAGCACATCAAGTGAGAAGTTGCCAAGCAAACAGGAGAGAGCAAATGTATTTGCAAGATCATCAAAGGAGCTCAATAAGATTCAGTCAACCAAGAAAGTGGAGACAACCGGAATATTGGACACCAAAGATAAAGCGAGTAAGCCTAAATCTACATCTGCCGAGAAGAAATCTACATCTGCAGAGAATGGATTACCTGGGAATTTGGTCAAAGTCCCTGTTAATGGCAAAAGATTAGCAGCTGCCAGTATCCAATGGGGTTCACTCCCTTCATCTCTTTCGAGGCTTGGACAGGTATGAGCTTGAGATCCTCATATCATATGTGTGCTTTCAAATGTTTCTAGTGATTAGGAAAATTTCATCTTCCAAACCTCTTAGTATAGCAAATGCATCTCATGTTTTAGTCTTTGGCATCGTAATTAGATTTTGATAAAAGCTTGTTGGCTCATTGCTGATATCATATGCAGGAAGTCTTGAGGCATAGAGATGCTGCTCAAGTTGTCGCAATAGAGGCCATGCAAGAAGCCTCTGCTTCTGAGAGCTTACTTCAGTGCCTCATGTGCGTAATCTCTAACAAACATTATTCATTGTTACTCTCTTAGTTGTTTCTAAACTTTATCCTGCTTCTCCATTTGTAGTATGTACAACGATCTTATGTCAACGGCGAAGGAAGATGATCCATTACCAGTCGTAGAGCAGTTCTTGAAGCTCCACTCCGGTTTGAAGAACGTTCAAATTATAACAGAGTCATTGTCTAGATTAATTTCTTCGACATCTTCCCCAGAAAATGAAGAAAACAGAACTGAGGAAGCTGTAAAAGCGGCATCAGAAAAGCAGAAATTAGCAGCCTCGTGGGTCCAAGCTGCGTTAGTCACTAACTTATCAGCCTTCTCTGTTTACTCAAGCAAACCAGCCAAATCTGCCTCATCCAGGAGCAAACCGGTGATCATACTCGAGACCCCGGGTAGTAACTCCACCGGTAAACCCCGTGGGAATGTCCAAAACCGGCCAACGATTGGATCAAAGCTCGTAGCACAAGGCATGATCCGTAAACACAGAGAGAACAGTAGCAGCCAAAAGGCCACAACAGTAACAGGATCAGAGTCTCCACCGTTAAACTGGGTGAAAGGGAATGGTTTAAACGAAGCGACTGATCTGGCGGAGAAGTTAACAACGGTTTCTCAAGATTGGTTTTTGGGCTTCGTAGAGAGATTCTTGGACGCTGACGTGGTGGAGACATCTTCGAATCTGAATCTGTCTGATAATGGGCAGATCGCAGGGATGCTGTCTCAGCTGAAGAGTGTGAATGATTGGTTAGACGAGATTGGGTCGAAAGAGGATGGAGAAGGATTACAAGAAGTCTCCAAAGAAACAATTGATCGGTTACGGAAGAAGATCTACGAGTATCTTCTCACACATGTGGAGTCGGCAGCTGCAGCACTTGGTGGTGGTGGCTCCGTCTCTTCTCCTAGACCAAAACCAATCGAAACCAAAGCAAAGAGATAAATGGTGAAAGCTTTTTACTTTGTTTTTTTCTGTATATATGAAAATTGGCGGCCAAAGTCCTTCTGTATAATTCTCCGACATCACTAAGAAGCCTACCAACGTAAAATGTTGGTATTTTTTTATTCAGATACTCACTCACTAATGAGAGAGCCTTATGGTTCGGAAGATTTCAATATATGTTCATCCTTTACAGGATTCTTCGAGTTTTCTACTACCAATTTAACATTTTGAGTTTGGAAAATTATACGTTTGGGAAAATATGATCGAGTAAACAGACAGAGAGACATACAGTACATGTAAATCGTCATTTGTGATCACATTTGCACCCAAAAAAATCGTCATTTGTGACTTCTGTTTGAGAGTGAAAATGGAGCCGATTGATAATGTTGATTTATTTGTGTGTTTCTTCGTAATAATAAAAACTAGAAGGTCCCAAAAGAGAAACTTTATAAATGACAAAATCAACCTCGAGCAAGTTCCTCACAATTGCCTTTGTGGTGGACTCTTTTGAAATCAAAGGGGTTTTGTCAATCTGAACAGATCTGTAAATTTCCCAATGAATCAGAAACCTCCGCCGTACGGTTATGGCAGCGGTGGTGGTGGTGGTGGTGGTGGTGGAGGACCTTCTTCCTCTACCAACAACACAACAATCGGGACGTTGGGTGCACGCGCCAAGCAGACGACGCAATCGATGATCACCACGCTCCGTCCATGGGGGGAGCTTCTCGATCTCGCCGCGCTCTCTGTCCCTTCCAAATATGATGAGGCCATGGCGCACCTGAAGCACAACACCTCTTATTTCCGAGCAAACTACGCTCTCACCGTCCTCGTCATCGTCTTCCTCGGCCTGATTTACCATCCGGTCTCAATGGTCGCCTTCATCGTCGTCTTCGTCGGCTGGATGCTCCTCTATTTCTCGCGAGACGGCAACGATCCGATTGTGATTTCGGAGAAAGTGGTGGACGACAAGATCGTGCTCGTGGTACTCAGCTTGGTAACGATTTTGGCGTTGGTATACACAGATGTGGGCGAAAACGTCCTGGTCTCGCTGATCATCGGATTGCTCATCGTCGGAGCTCACGCTGCTTTCCGTAGTACCGATGATTTGTTTCTCGATGAAGAAAGTGCCCGACGCGGTGGGCTCGTATCCTCCGCTGCTCCAGGAAACCGGCCACCGACAAGTTATACCCCAATTTGAGTCACCGGTTTTGTGATTTCATCACATTTCTTTTGGGGTTTGCTTGAAAATGCGTAAAATCATTAGTATATTCCCAAGATCCCTTGTATTGTATTTGTACGTGTGTGTTTGTGTTGTTTGATTGTGTGTGTAGAAGTAATTCTGGGAAATTTGGTGTTACAGAATTGAAATTGGCTTGGATTGGTAATATATAATTGCAATATTATGGCAACATGACGATGGATCCAATCAAATTCGATCGAGAACAAAACAAATATGATAAATTCAATTCGACAAAAACTTGGTTTACACTCTCGGTACAATCATCAACTGTCGCATATAGTGTACGAGAGAATGCTAGAAAGAAACACAAGTTGGATCTGATCTGTTGATTATTCTTCTTCGAGATTGATGGAATCCTTGAACTTGGCATACAAGACCTTCTTCAGCTCTGCCATTTGCGAGACGATTGATTGCTTCTCTTGCTCGAGCTTTTCAAGGCTTTTGCAGGTGGCCTCTTTCATATCTTCGATCCTTGTTTCCACCTCATCCCTCGGCAAATGAGCAAACACTTCTCCGATTTGAAACCGAATCATCTCCTCATCCGCGAGAATCAACTCGTTCCCTGCATCCTCTAGATTCTCACACTTTTCCTGCATTTTTAAATATATATTCGATCAAGCTAAATGCATGAAACACACAGTAGCATGCTGTTTGTCTATTATGCCAAAGAGCTTGCACCAATCCAAGACTAAGGAAAGCAGAAACAGGGAAGAAAGAAGAAAACAATTTCAATTTTCAGACATTGAATCTAACTACAAGACTAAAACTAAATCACTAATGTCCGGATCATTGTAACTAGATTTGTATTGGATTGTAACTGTAATGAGTCAGTTAGCTGCGAGCAAAGCTGTCTAAAGGAAATTGAGCAAAAATAAATAAATTTGATCCTTCTTTGGTGAGTAAAATAGAGAAAGAGGATTCAATCACACAATTCCACAACTTAAACGATGCAATTTGAAGGAAATAATTCCTAATTACTGATGAATTTAACATAATAAAAGCTTTAAAACCCTAGAATCGCAGAAACAAAATCAAAAATACCCAAATCAACGTCGTTTTGGGCATAGATGGTCGAGAAGAAGGTGGAGAGGAGAGTACCTTGGAGAATTTGATATCGTCTTCGAGTTCATGGAATCTGTTGTTGAAACGGCTGAACTTATTGATGTTCTGCTGATCCTCCCATGTCACCTCCATCCCAGATCCACTACTACTCCCCTGCACAACCACATCACACGATTCACACACGCAAATTTACAGGATCCAAACACATTTAAGGAATAACTCGACAGATTAGAGAAATCCTTACTTGCTGCTGCATTTTCGTTTCTCGCGGCGATGGAACAAATTGACCACTTTTTTTTTTGGGGACAAAATTGACAAGGGACCCAAAATCTCAAGAATGAGAGCGTAGCGGACCAATGTAGGAGACTGTGCCTTTTTTTAATTTACTTTTTTCCCCCAATACCTTTTAAAAAATAGATTTTGGGCCCATAAATAACCGCGAGTTTCACATATTTATGATAACATAATACGAAAATACCATACGCCTATTTTGTAATTTTCTAAATATAAAACCAAAGTATGGTTTTATTAGTGAATGAAAGTATGTAACTATACGTATATAATTTTCTGTCCAGTGTTATTCTTGTTTAGACAAACAATAAAATAAAAACTTTCTAGAACATACTGAAACGTTGAAACGAATTGGAACCTAAATCAAGAAAGAGTTTGTTGTTCCAACAGAAACCATTTAAAGTTTGTTCTTGGATCTCTCAAGAAGAAAACAGTTCCAGAATCTCACCAGGCATTTAACAGAGGCCAAGCCCCATTAAAAATGGCAAAACTATTCTAAAACCCTACTTTTAAACAACACCAAAATGTGCGGTAGAAACTCCAAGAACATCATCCTTTCATCTTCTGTTTCCAGTATTCTACCATTAATATCCACCGGAAACCTTTTCTCTTCTGTACATTCATAAAATAAACCAAACAGAAAAAGCTTCTTCCTCCCTTTTGTGCTTCGGGGAAGAATAGTTTCTGAGGGATAAAGATTTGGGATTTACATAAAATCTTTTGATACACTCTCCTTCTCCATCATATCTCCTAACTACAATAATCTCTGTGCAGGCCGCGCTTAATCTCGGCGCGGTCAGCACTATAAACAAGACCTAAGAGAGCTTAAAACCATCTCCTCGCCTTCTTCTGTTATTCAAATCCTGGCAGACATGAGCTAACTTGTACAACAAGGCACAAACCCTAACTTCTCGTGATAATCAATCATAAACGTGCCTATACTATTATTTAAATCTTAGCAGCAGACGAAGAAATGGTGATGGTTGGGGAAGCATTGAGTGTATCAACCTCAATGTCTTCATCGCCATGCGAAAGTGAAGCAGAAGAGCTTCAAAAGATGTCAATGGAACCACCGAGAGTCAAGGCCAAGAAGCGTCTCTCGAAGCAACTCTCCATGTTGGAGACCAAAAGAGACAACGCATGGGAGCGTCGCCGTCGCCAGATGCTACAGATCCACATCGAGAGGAAGCAAATAAACGAAGGAGGAGATTGTGACTTAACGGACGGGGACTTGAGTGAGCTCAAAGGATCTATTGAGTTAGGGTTTGGGTTTAACGAGGAGCAAGGGCAACGACTTACAACCACATTGCCTGCATTGGACCTTTACTTCGCTGTGACTCGTCAGGTCTCGCCGCTTTCTTCACCAGGCAGCAGCGGATCTTCATCCTCCCGACTCTCATCCCTTGGAGACCGATCCTCTTCTTTTGGTAGTCCTATGAGCGACTCTTCAGATACTTTGAAATTTATGTCTCCAGGTAATCATTTTGGGAAATACAACTATAAACATAGGGACTTTACCTTTTTAGCCAGGTTTATGGTTTTTAATGTATTTTTCTTAATGTTGTATGATATGAATTATCAGGAGATAGTCCCCAACAGGTTAAAACGAGGCTGAGGCATTGGGCACAAGCTGTGGCATGTTCTGTGATACAATCTTACAATGAATCAGACAAGTGCAATGAATCAGACAAGTGAGATGGGTATTTGTACAGAGTGTGACATGAATGATGAGACTGCATAAATATTGGTTGAGGCAAAGAAGTTGTTGTAGAAATTAAAGAAGCTTAAGTATAAGAGATTAATTAAGGAACTGGTTAAGACAGAGGACAGCGAAGAAGTGAAGTTTCAAACTAAAAGAAGAAAGGGCGATAAAGATGTATGAAGGTCTTAGATACGTACATATCCGTATGATTCTCAAACTTTTATTTTCCGCAAAGACGGTTAGTTAGATATATATATTAAGGCTTTTGCTTCTCTTCCTTTGTCCTCTATCAAACTTCTTTTCTAATGTCAAAATTCAAAAATGGAAATAGACTTTTTATCCAGAAACATAAGAAGTGTCTTGTTAAATATATTGGCTAACCAAAACAACATGTAGGCAAATACATAAATATATAAATATATTGTCACTTTTGACATTCGAGGAAGAAGATGCTATGTAAACATATAACAAAGGACATTCCATATAACCGAGAGATGTACAACAAGTTTAATAAAGTTGCATGATTTTTGGTATGCTAAACAAAAGTAGAGACAAAAGTATCAATCTGACTAATACAAATATCAAATGAGAACCCCACATTCACACTTCACCCAAAGTCTAGAAGATTTTTTTATAAAAAAATGCAAAAAGAACCCAAAGAAAGTGAAAGCCTACAAGGAAATCATGAATATGAACACCAAACCCAAAAAATGAATGATTTCTGAAAATTGTAAAATTCTGTGCTTTTTGTATACGAAAGGGGAAGGCCAAGAAGAAGATGCTGTACAGTTTCCTTATAGTTTTGACCACTCTTGACTTCTTTTATATTTTCCTCTACAATATCTTCCCCACAAAGTTATCTAAAAGATAAAAAGACATATAAACTTAGTAAATTTTAGCCATAAAAAGAGCTCCCAAAAAAATTCCAATCAATACAAGATTCAGAGAAGCAGAAGAGACATACCTTTGTGAAGATTTTTACAGGTAGACACGGCATCAACTCTCTGTATGATCTTGTCTTTTCATGCTGAGACTCCTCAGATTCTGCAAATGAGAAGCTATTTCCTTAACGAATTGCACGCCTTCCTCCCCGTGCCCGAGAGAGTTCACAACATGTTCTAGGAAGTATAAGTCTCCCTTCAACATTTCCACTCTCTCATGTAGCTCAGAAACAGATTCTTGTGTTACTACATTATCGACATGAGCCTCCCCACTTACTCTGTTTTCAATCTTCTCCAAACAACTGGCGATATACAATCTCTCTTCGTTGAATCCAGTCAAACAATCCTGTATCTTGCTGTTCATCCTCTCACTAGGCGAGTCAAAGTCTAGCTTTCTCTTCTCCGGTGTATGGTCCCGGAAGTACTCAATCTCAGCTTCTAAATCTTGAATTAGCTTCTCTTTCTCAACAACCAAATCATTCAGTTTCTGTATCGCTTCCATATCATACTCTGCTTGCTCTTCCATCATCCTCAGGTTCTGCAAAGCTTCCATTTGGAACAGCGCCTTCTCCTCCTGCAACCTCGTGATCATAGCCATTGCCTGGTTTGTAGCAACCGCTGAAGCGCTTCTTTCTTCCTCCAACTCTCTGTATAAACCAGACAGCAACCTCCTGTCATGATCAACCTGTCTTTTCATCCGATCACTCTCACTTTCTCCCTCGATTTCGCTCACGGCAACTCCTTCCAACGACAAGTTGCTCTCATTCCTTTCGAGCATTCTCTTTTGAAGTAGCAGCTGCATCTCAAGATCAAGGCTCTTTGTCTCCTGATCACTGCATACCCTGGGGCTTATATCTCTTGGCGACAAGAACTCTATCCCACGTGAAGCTGATATTTGAGTAAGAAGTGCTTTAAGGTCTTCGCTGACTCTAGAAGTGTCTTTCTTCATCCATTGCTCTATCTCTGCTCCTCCATTACTATCATTGTTACCTTCACTGTGTACGATGATATTGTATGCATCCGCAAGATCCATTAACTCACCTCTCTGCATCCAAGACTCACCTGAACCGAGGTTTGTATCCGCTGCCACCGACATTGAGTTGAAAGATGAAGATTCTGACTCAAGAGCTGCTTCTGTGTGAGAAGCCATCTCAGACACAGAAGAGACTGTCTCTGTAATTTCCTTGATTTCTGTTACACCTGATATGAAAAATGGATTTACTTCATCAGAGACCATGTACGTATGTAAGACCTTCATGCCATATAATCTTGGAAAGAGCTAGAATTTACAATCATACAAGCAAATCTAGAGAAGAAAACTTACAGTTTTTGGTTGAACTTTCAGGCATGGATTCTACAGATCTTGAAGATGATACAACTACATATTCAGGTTCCAGTAAGGTGATATCAGCTTGGCTTGTGTCCCTCTCCATCGACGTCTCAACCAAGGTTTCATTTGTAGTGAATGATTCAGGAACCTCGTCTAGAGAAAAATCAGGGAGAGGCATAAGTTCAATTCCCTCTAAGACATTTTCAGGAGTTTCAGCAGCATCTGATGTTGAAGAAACATCATTTAGACAAATAAGCTCAGTCTCCTCCATTGAGGCATGTGCAGGATCTTCCTTAAAGTCGGGTGTTAAAGAAGTATCTTGGAGGCAAATTGCATCTTCTTCCTCCTTTAAAACAGTCTCCTCGGTTAAGACATCTTCAGGAGTTTCAGCAGCATCTGATGTTGTAGTAACATCATTGAGGCAAACAAGCTCTGTCTCCTCCTTTGAGGAATTTGCAGGATTTTCCTTCAAATCTGGTGTTAAAGAAGCATCTTGGAGGTGAATCGGATCTTCTTTCTCCTTTGAAACAATCTCCTCCATAAAGACATCTACAAGAGTTTCAGGAGCATCTGATGTTGTAGTAACATCATTGAGGCAAATAAGCTCAGTCTCCTCCATTGAGGCATTTGCAGGAATTTCCTTGAAATCTGGTGTTGAAGAAATATCTTGGAGGTGAATCAAGCCTTCCTTCTCCTTAAAAACAGCTGCAGAATGATCCATGGCGCGTGATGCCATAAGATTATCAAACGAAAGGATATCTTCCAACTTGAACACATCAGGCACACCATCAAGTAAAACCAGCTCAGTCTCCTCCCTTGAATCATTTTCAGGATTTTCCTTCAAATCTGGTGTTAAAGAGATATCTTGGAGGTGAATCAAGTCTTCTTTCTCTCTCAAAACAGCTTCAGAATGTTCACTGGCGCGTGATGTTGAGAAAAGATTATCAAATGAAATGATCTCTTCTTCCTTCAACACCTTCTCTGATACTGGAATAAGATCAGCATCCTCCATTAAGGCAGTTTCCGGAATATCTGATGTTGAAAAAACATCTTGGAGTTGAATCAAGTCTTCCTTCTCCTTCGAAACAGCTTGAGAATGTTCCATGGCGTGTGATGTTAAGAAAAGACTATCCAATGGAATGATCTCTTCTTCCTTCAACACCTTTTCTTCTGATGTTTCGAACACACCATTAAACGGAATAAACTCAGGAAAAAAGGGATTAGTTCCACGAGCCACCAAAGAGAAATCAAGGTTTAGCAGCTTGTCAGTGGCCAAGTCGTAAGGCAAGGTGATACTACTAGGAGGAGTCTCAAGATCCACGAGTTGATGATACTTGTGATTCTCTTCCTTAACACCTTCATCTTCTGAAAACACAGCTTCTGATTCAGTATCTGAATGAAACTTGAGCTCAGTGTACCCAACATGAGGCAAATCATTGAACCTGACACTCTTCTTGGGCGTAGTAGACTGTTTCCCGGTTCTCACATCACCACCCAAACGAATCTTGGCTAGCGTTGAAGCCGGTTTAGCCACCTGATCAGTAGATGAAGCGGTTTGTGGCATCCAAAGCTGATCACAACATGTACAGTTTCTTGGATTTGAGCTTCGACCAGTCTTGGATTCAAAGCAAGAAGAGTCTTCACCCAATTTCCCAACTAACAATCTGTAAGTCTCAGCATTGGACTTATTTGTTGTCGCAAAGGAGAAAAGGCAAGTCTCACACATTCCACGGACATCCACAAGCTTGCCATGAGCGTGACAGTAAACCAAAGAGGAGATCTCTGATTGGTGTTTAGAGCAAACCGTGTCCCAATGAGATCTCTTCGGATGTTTTGTCCTGCCGAGAATATGATCAAGCCTTGAGCACATGAGACATGGAGATTGGAGCTCAGAGTAATCTGCGAACCATGTGATCACGTAGGAGAATATGGAGTTGACAAAGAGCATCAACATTAGTAGCCACTCGTTGAAGGCTAACGCCAAAGCTCTTCTGAAACTCCGAGAACACGTCTGTGATTTTACTGCAGACATTTGCCTTGTGGCCATCTTTTGGTATAAGATGATGAAGAATCAATCAAATCACTCAAGACAGGTTTCGGAATCTGCACCAATGAGATACAAATCAAACATTTAGAAGTTCAGAGATTTCAGAATCTAAGAAACAAGAAACAAACTTGAGAGTATACCAATCAAGAATTCCAATCCGGTTTACAAATGATATTTGGAGATTGAGGAGAAACAGAGACAAGGACGGAAACAAAGTTGACCAAAACAGAATCAAAGTATACGTACAGATTTTAGTACTTGTCAATAGTAAACTCTGTTCCTGTTTAGAAAGATCAAATTTTTCAAAGCAGCAATCGGAATTGAAACAAAAACGAAGTTCCTATGAAGATTTTTAACAACCACTCTGTATCGAGAGATCTAAAAGAGAAATTGACAGCTCAACTTAAATATTTTAATTGGTTTTTGGTTAAAAGCGGAAATCAAAGTTATATAATGAATGAATGATCACCAAACTTAGCTTAAGAAAATTAAACTAAATAGATCAATCGTAGCATCAACTATCAAGACCCAAACAAATTTATATAATCAGCAAAAAAAGATCGAACCTTTTAATCATGAGGATCATCAGAGTCATTGGAAGTATGTCTTTGGATCGAAGTTTCAAATACAGAGTTGAATGTGAAATTCCAAAATCTGGCAAAGTTGTGTTTTTGAGAGAGACTTGCCCAGAAAACATTTTAAAAAAAGAACTCAAAAGGCAAAACCCATACATGGACCCAGCAAGGACTGCACGTAGTCTTCACAATAAACCACGAATTATTAAATAAATCCCAAAAAAGAAAAATAGTCATTGTGAAACATTGAATGAGATTAGACTTTAATTTCTTTTATCAAAAAAACATTGAATAAAATTGACCAAAGTAAGGGAAAACAAGAGATTAACGTAGTGGAAACAGATTTTAAAAAGTCGCAATATTGGTATTTTCCCTAAACCCTTTGGTAAAGTTTTTATTTTTATTGAAATGGTTGGCAAATACTGAGAGTCGGCTACTGATTAGAAAAATGGCTGCCGAAAGTTGGCTTGCCAGAAAAGTAGTGTGGAAACAAATTATTGAAAAACAAGAAATTAATTAACTCTTTTTAATAGAAGAAAAATGTTTGGATTGAATATATAATCTCATATTCATGTTAAGTTATTTCAAATTATATAAAGGAAACAAATTCAGATAAATTGGATGTTGCACTTTGATGACAATCTAGGGAGAGATAACAGATTAGCTCGCAAGAAACAGTTGTTGTGGAGGTTCTTGTCCGTGTCAACACTAACTTTGACAGTTTGAAGCCATCCCAAGTTGCCCAAGAAATGTCGCATCTGTTTCAGCTCTTGAAAAGAAGCTCCGTACTCTAAAATCTCTAGCACCTTCACTTTACATGTCCATAAACAACATACCTTCTTCCTCTCCTCTTCTTCCTCCTCCTCCTCATCAAATTTCCTCTTCTTATTCTTCTTCCTCATATGCTTTTTAGGGCTGCAAGCGCATGCATCTCCGCATCTAATTGTTACTCTGTGCACAAGACCCTGAAACCAAACCAATTTGACATGTATAGTGTGCAACACTAACAACAACCATAAACAATCTCAATAGATAATACGTACCTTGATGACTAAAGTATGTAGTTTTGGACAACTATCGAGGAGAAGTGGCATTACTTGCCAACCTTTTTCCTTGTTGCTCTCAATAGATAACTTAAGGAGGTTGTAGAACACCGGCATGGATTCACAGCAGAAATGAAACGCCTGATTCATATATATGAGAGTGAGAGAGGCCTTGCAAGATTCATCCACAACACAAACCAAATAAAGATTAAAAACTGACCTCAAGGGAATCGGGAGACAAGTGAAGGGTGGTAATGTTACTTATAGCAGCAACTAGATTTGTAACATCACCAAATGGAACCTTTGGTTCAACTTTAACAAAAACAAAAGTATAAGTACCATCACCGTTAGAACGAATACCATCATCATCATCGTAATAATGATCGTTTGTTGACTCCCATAACCTGAGATCCAGCCTGGCTTCGACAAGCGAATCCAAACCAGCACAGAGATAATCTTGAAAGACATGGCTAGAATACTCAAGGTACTCGAGGCTTGGTGCTTCAAAATAAGTGAAATTGTGATAGTCTTTATCATCCGGAAAATTGACAAAAACCACAAGTCGCTTGATGGATGCACTGTTCACCCACTCAGCAGATATGGATAATTCTTCCAGGCAGCCATGGTTAAGCCGCTGGGAATAGTCGGGATGATGAGCATCACGTATGAATAATTCTTCCAGGACAGGGCAGCCATCGAGAAGCCGGGAATAGTTGGGATAATCAAGCCTAAAAGCTGACAAGATAGAGAGTGATTTGAGCGCTGGGAAAAACACACGCTCCACTTCAAAAAAATAGCCACCGGACAGAGTGAGCTTAACCAGTGTCTTGCTTGTTAACAGCTTTGTCTCTAGACAAGCACCAGACCACCAGCTGTTGCCGTGCAAGTGTAGTTCCGACAAACCGCGTTCCATTGCAGTCCAAATCCAACGGTTGATTCGAGCGTTCACACGAGGGTATGAATACTCTCCCTCACAGCCATCGCCGTGGCTAGTGTGTAGCCGAGACAGTGAGAATTTCTTGATCATGGGAGATTTGTTATTGGTTAACAGGGCAAAGGTCTTGTCTACGAAATCTAAGAAGCGATGTGAACCACTTGTTGCTTCTTCTTTGTTGGGATACACAACCACCGAATCATCAAAGCTGAGGCTGTCTACGAGACCCAGCAGATTCCTCCATCTCTTGGACAGAACCGATGTGGAGGCAGCCACCTTTGTCGGAAGTAAAGACAGGATCTTGCCAAGAATCTCATCTGGCAAACTGCTTATGGAATCTCTAAAGCAACTCATAGCCATCATAAGTTAGGACTTTAATTGTCTGGTCCTTACCTACTTCACACTAAAGTTTTGTAACTCCTAGATTAGGGCACTAGTTCCTCCAACTGAAATTTAATTTAGGGCAATCAAACAGTAGAAGCGTTATCAAAGATGATCCTATTCAATAAGAGAAAAATTCTGGACAAAACAAAAAAAAGACAAACTTACGACGCTCGATGAGAAGAGGAAGATCGATCCAAAAGTTTGATTTGCTTGGCTGAATTTTGTGAGACGGAGAGAGAGAGAGGGAGAGATAGACAATGCAAAACGTTTTGTAACATTAAATAAAAATAAATTAAATTCCGGAAAAATATTTGGGTAATGATTAGTGGGACCTAATAAACAAGAATCATTACAAGGTTTAGCCCAAAAGGTACAAACGAAAGAGCCCAATACTTGGAATAACTGACATATTCGAGCCCATATGAGAAATGAAAATAATTGGACTATGACAAAAAAGCTCTCCCTTTGAACATAATCTGACTAGTTCTTTCAACGAATTGCGTCATAAGACTCATAACTAGTCAGACGAAAGTACTAATCTTTGGGAATGCTCTCATCCAACCCTCAAGAAGGCGTGAAATGTTCTCGGTGCTTGAAGCATAGGTAGATATGTGATTAATGGCGTTTCTTGCGGCAGAATTTTGCAACGCCATGTGAAGTAAACAAAATATTGAAAGGAGATATCTTTTTGAGCGACCAAATTAAACCAACTAGAAAAGAGTCGCATGCATGTATATACTAGTAAAAAAAAAAAAAAAAAAAAAAAAAAAAAAAATAACGTTAATACGCAAAAGAAAGGAAGAGAAAAACAAGAAAATCTAAACTGCGTGATTGATATGCAAGCTAAGGAGCCAGAATAAACAAAACTCAGAAAAGAAAACAGAGTTGTACTACATATGACACTGATATAAGTCGTGTGAGTGACAAATGTCGTATTTTAGTAAAGAAATGCACAATATATCGGTTATTCCAAATGTCATATGAAAACAATGAAGCAAATGGTCCAAAAAAAGAAAGAAAACAATGAAGCTATTTCACAGCTCTTGTTGCATCGTCCTATATATGGCGAAAAGAAGAAGAAAAGAAAACGCTTGTAGGTGAATTAAGTGGCATCATCGTCCTATATATGGAAGAAGAAGAAGAAAAGACAACTCTCATCATCGTCCTGTGGAAAAAGAAGAAAAAAGACGAGTTAGTGACATTAAAATCAAATATCTCATTTTGTGAATATATAGCTCCGTAAAGTAACGAAACGTTGTGTACCTTGAGCATCAATCAATTGGTTTCCAAAGCCAGCAGCTAGACTAGAGCTTCACTTCACTTGTATCACCAATCTTGACCTATCAACATACAAAAACTCAATCTTTAACCCAACAATACAGAGCAAAACCAGAATTAACGAGGTTTGTTTATGTATGAATGTGTGTATTACCTGGCCGATGTTGCCATTGACGAAAACGTTACTGCAATTGAGGTCTCTGTGGATATCTTCATTGGCGGCTCCATCACCTTGACCTTGAGCAATGTTCTTATCAAGGGTTTTAGCATCTTTGGCAAAGGAGAGGCAGTAGAGAGAAGCGTCTTTGCACTGATAGAGTATGCAGGTCCACTTCCCTCCCTGCTCAGCCTTTAGTTCCTGGCTCTCCTTGCGTGTACCAAAACTGAGGGTCATGTTTTGTATCTTCACCTCATGTCCATTAAAAACCTGCGGTCTCTTTGAGCCCAGCTTCCAGTGTATATCCAGTTCGGTGCTTGGGCTTATGGCATGGTATACCGTAGGAGGCTTGTAGGAGAAGAGCCAGTCACAACGTTGTGGTGGTTTCGTGGTGCAGAAGACTTTGGGTTGAGCCCATGGGTAAGTGGTGAAAATTTTTGGGTCTTTCAGATGGGGAAAGCCAACATGGATGTCTTCACTCATCAACACCACAGATGAGAAGCAGATGATGTTTCTATTGGCTGGCCCTGTGAAGCCCTCAAAGTGATGGAAGGCGTGGTTTGCTCTAGAGAGCTTCTCTGCATACTTCCTGTGGCCACCAGAGCAACAGTGCCTATTGAGCTTCTTGGTGAGGTTGCATCCCAAAATAGCGCACTGCTTCTTGAGGTTATCCGTTGATAGGTAGCAGGCAGCTCGAAGGACTGATTTGCGATCATCGTGGTTTAAGATAACAAGAGTCTTTGCAGCTTCCTGTAAAACCAAAAAAAAAAAAAAAAAGGTCAAACTCAGGGGCCGAGTCGTAAGAGCATGCTTAACGGTAAGCGCTTAATGGGTGCTTATCTAATATCATAATATAAAAGTTGTTTTAAGCACCTTTATAAAAAATTTCAGATTTTTCTGTTTTAATGGGAGACTCTTACAAGCACCCCTATACAAAACTATGCATATTTTCTGCAAGGATTTCAACATTTTGTCAAGGAAAGTGGAGTAAGCACATTGTACAATCTAGAAATCACCAAACACTAGAGCAAATTCCAATCAAAGATAAGTTCATCTTCTAAGAATGGAATGGTTTTGTGGACAATCACATTCACTGTGACTTCCATTCTCCAACTCTCGCAGATTGCAGCATAATGAGAAGAAGCAGCCAATTCCAGAAGCTTAAACTTCCCTTCTCTGCTTGGAGAAGATTATAGCTTTCTTCTGTTTGGATGATTGAAAAGGTATTGAAAGGTGAAGCAGAGAAGTCTTTGCCTGAAGCTTTCACATATGCTTCTTTGAGAGTCCATAGCTTTATCAACCTCTTACGCTGAGCCTCAATGTCTGTTATAGTCGACCAAAAGCTGACTTCAAGGCCTAAATACGGACAAGTTCAAAGTACTTATAAAGTAGAGCAGCAGAGACAATGAGCACATAAAGAAAGAAACAAGTCAGGTCATGTATTACCATTAACACCATTATTTTGCGGAAAACATCAAGTCCTAGAGCTTTTTGTGTTGAATTGAAGGTGCAGTGATCAGTTCCTACAAGCTGCAGAGATAATACCAAGAAAAGGAGAGATAGAATGTTAGCGAGATCTTATGCTATAGGTCATGATGTTTCTCTACTTTATGAAGAGCAAAGAAAAGAACCGGTCAGGATCCCAAAACCAGTGATCATCAAGGATTAGTCCATACACAACAGACTCTCCAATAACCTTATGCCCTGATTTCCGAGCTTTAGCAATCTCGTCCATGGATCACCACTCAGCTTTCACTCCTAAACTTCATCGTATGCAAAAGCAGAAGGAGCTTCCTCTGAGGCTTTCTTATGCTGCTCCTCAATCTATCAACACAGAATCAACACACATAATCACTGAGATGAAATTTGAAAGAAATCTAAGGAATTATGGAAAGAGAATGATGTGGGGGGGGGAGATCAAAATTAAACTAAATTTCCTAAACTCAATCAACAAGATACAAGCAGAAGAAACACCATTTTCAGTGCTTGAGTGAACATCTAAACCCTAATTAACCACGATATACAGCCGATTGTGGAAGAAAACTTACCATGCACAAAGGAGAAACAATTGTCGATTGAGATCAGCAGCAGAAATCGATGAAGCTTTCCAATCAAAATCAAATCGCCAAAATCGCCATCGGAGAAGAGAGAGGGAGGAGAGAGAATCGAAAGAGAAAAATGACAAAGAAAACGCGTTTTGTTTCTTCTCATTAACGACGAGCCAATAAACTCCTGCCACATGGCAGGTAAGCTTCGACGCTTCTCACGCCTGAATAAGCGTCGGATTCTCTCTTTTTATTTACTTTTGAATTAAATTTGGGCTTAGCGCTGCATTAAGCGCCCTGCGTTAAACATGCTCTAACAACATGAATCTCATCTTGTGGCCCAGATACGAACCAGCAATTGTCAAACCCTAGGGCCCGAAGCAAAATCAAGCAATTGATACTAGATCCAAAGCAATTCGGCCAAACCCTAAGGGCCCGATCCTTTTCTTCAAGATACAGAGCCCAAACACCACAAATCCATGGCCTAAGAATAAGATCGACGACGACGGTTACGAATTTATCAGACTACAAGTCAAACCATAAGTCCTCAAAAGGATCGAACGAGACTAGCTAATCCTCCGTCAAATTCCAAAACCTTGATCGTCGGAAAGTTCGAAACCCCTAAAACGATACGATCATCGACGCGAAGCATCCCTAACGAATCCGCGACACAAACCCTAACGAATCGAATCGAATCGAGAAGATAACAGGTTTGTTACCTTATCTGCTTCGTCTAATCCTCCGTTATCCTTCTCCGCTGCCGCCTCGTTCGCTTCTTCTCCGTGTGGGATGACCAAATCCTTCTCTGAATCTTCTTCGTCGTTGCGCATGTCTTTGCTCATCTTTCTCTCTTCGTCAGTGTTCATGGTATTGATCGGGAATGTTCTAAGAAATTTTTAGAGAGAGAGAGTTGTTGGAAAGCAAAGTGATTTGAGCTGAGAGAATGGGGGTATTTATAGACTGGCGATTTCGGGGGGCTTTTTTCAAAGGAGCAACGCCTAATTTCTTTAGAGATTCACGCTTTTAACCCTGGGATACTTGGAGAGAACAACTTGATTTTTTTATTTTCTCATTTGTTGGGGAAAAAGTGAACTATATATATATGCAGTCTTTTGATGCAGCCTTTTTTCTTTTTCTTTTTATGCGGATGGAGCCATTAGATCACTACACAGTAAGATCACTCTTCCTGTGGTAGTTACTACTAGTGAATGATATCATAAAACTTCGTTCTGAATTTCATGTTTTGATTAGCCTGTGCAGAAGATGGTTTCTCAAGTTACAGCTAGCAAGAATATAAGTGGTGTAATGAGCTCTCCTTTGATTGTCATTTCCATTGCCAATTTTCCAAATGATACATGAGTCTGAAATTTATTGGCTTTGGTCGGTTAGAGAGCTAATATCTGGACGTAAGTGTGCCTTAATCATTTCGTTCTTATGAAGCCGTCGCAGAGTCTTGTTGGGGGGGGGGGGGGGGGGAAGGGGGGGGGGGAAGGGGGAAAGGGGGGGTGGGGGGGGGGGGGGGGGGGGGGGGGGGGGGGGGGGGGGGGAAGGGGGGGGAGGGGAAGGGGGGGAAGGGGGGGGGGGGGAGGGGGGGGGGGAGGTGGGGGAAGGGGGAGGGGAGGGGGGGGGGGGGGGTGGGGGTAAGGGAGGGGGGAGGGGGGGGGGGGGGGAGGAAGAGGGGGGAAGGGGAGAGGGGGGGGAGGGGGGGGGGGGGGGAGGGGCCGTCGCAGAGTCTTGTTGTAGTCGTAAGAAGATGCATCTGCATCTGGTGACAAAGCCTCTCTGTTCTGCTACTCAATTATGTTCCTCCTACCTAACCAGAATCATGCTTGATGCTTAGTTGGCTCATATGGAATGTTTTTTTTTTCCCAACTCCCACTTGTCGCAGGTTGTAATAAACTGATGCTGATTCAGAAGAGCTGTATCTGCCTAAACAACGTTGGAAGTTACTCGAGGATCTCACTTCTGCCAGCGAGGTGCAAGTTTCTTCTTTCGCAAGAAAGGCTTAATGATTTCCCCTGAATGGACCAGCAGGATAAGGAGATTGATCTGCCAAAGTCCGTTCCTTTACTTGACATGTAAGCTAAAACATTTCATGGGTCAGCTTGTCATCACTCTCATCTGTGTAAAGTTCAAGTCTTTAACTCTTGTGGTTTGGTGTTGTTATGATTTTGCCGAAAGCAGAGGCAGAGAGTGAAGAACAGCAAAAAGCTCTTGCCGGTGTCTGTGGAACCCACTAGTTACAACTGCTGCTTTCTCTTACCAAGACAACAGAGGTTTCTCAACTTGTATTGCCTTCACTTTTACCTTGTACCAGAGGATCCTTCTGGAGAGGTTTCTGTGCTAGGCTGTGGGAACAGTTTGATAGAAAGACTAAGATGTTCCTTTTTGCAGGAAGTTGTCGGTTATATGATCAGTTGCAGGCTTGAACCTGAGGTTTGATTCCAGCTACCTATAGCAACCATTGAGCTTCGCAAAGTCCCACATCCCATCTTCACCCATTGCCTCATCTAACCTCTCCCAGGCAAACCAAATCGAGCTCCCCACGCACATGTCAGCTGCAAAGTATGGCCCCAAGAAAAAATGGTATTCCCATTGCCATGGGAACTGATTGCTCCATCAGAAGTTGTTCCGCAACTTCGGAAAGCTGGCAACAAATGCGATTCAAGATTGTACTTGTACCTATGCCTGCACGCATTATTTTAAGTCAGCCCAAATACTGGGAGGGATTTTCATGATATGCAGGTATGTGTAGTTAACTCAGTATATAGAATGAATGTTTTCTTCCCTTCTTTTTCTCGTTTTTTGTTGCTTATATTATTTCTTGAAATATGTAAATGCTGTAGGTAGAACTATATGCGGAATACGATACTAAGATGCTGCTTCCATTCTTACGTGGCAGTCAACATTACAAGTTAGAAAAGGTAGTCAACATTACAAGCTACAGCTGACTGACATGAACTATCTCTAGGTTATCTCTTTGTGAACTTGATACATTGCAAAATCTCAGGCATATGAACTTTGTGTCAAGAAAGATCTATTAAGAGAGCAGGTGTTTATCCTGGGGAGGATGGGAAATGCAAAACAAGCTCCTGCCGTCATCATAAATAAACTGCGTGATATATAGGGAGTATAGCTGCAGTAGATACTGCAGATATTTAAGCACATAGCAAACCGAGAAGGTATATCTTCCTTGAGGAACACTACTGTTCGGCGCTGGTCGTCTTTGGGGCAGGAGGGTCTTCTTCGCGTGCAAGAGAGGTTCTCAAACCAGCTTTGCCTCGGCTCTGCGATGATAGTCTGAAACGGTTCGGCTCAACACCTCGCAACATCTCTTAGAGACGACATAACAATCCCTCTGAACAATGTTCTTCTGCAGTAGATAACCTTTGCAAGGAACCTCAAAAGAAGAAACCTCATGGTGCAGATTCTGAAAGATTTCTATAGGTAACTCAAGATAGGAGTTTGATTTTCAGCTGCATTCTTCACTTGTGAATAACATCCGAATAATGATAAACGGTGACTAGGAAAATATATATATTCATATTCATGTATCAAAAAAAGTTTGGATTGATATATAATCTCATCATATTCATGTTAAGTTCTTTCAAATTACAATAAAACAGAGAGATATAAAGGAAACAAATTCAGATAAATTGGATGTTGCACTTTGACGACATTCTAGGGAGAGATAACAGATTAGCTCGCAAGAAACAGTTGTTGTGGAGGTTCTTGTCCGTGTCAACACTAACTTTGACAGTTTGAAGCCATCCCAAGTTGCCCAAGAAATGTCGCATCTGTTTCAGCTCTTGAAAAGAAGCTCCGTACTCTAAAATCTCTAGCACCTTACTTTACATGTCCATAAACAATACCTTCTTCTCCTCTTCTTCCTCCTCCTCCTCCTCATCAAATTTCCTCTTCTAATTCTTCTTCCGTATATGCTTTTTAGGGCTGCATGCGCATGCATCTCCGCATCTAACTGTTACTCTGTGCACAAGACCCTGGAGCCAAAAGCAGTTTCACATGTATAATGTGTAACACTTTACATCAACCAAAAAATATAAATAAAGGAAATTGATGACTAAAGTCTGTAGATTTGGACAACTATTGAGGAGAAGTGGCATTACTTGCCAACCTTTTTCCTTGTTGCTCTCAATAGATAACTTAAGGAGGTTGTAGAACACCGGCATGGATTCACAGCAGAAATGAAACGCCTGATTCATATATATGAGAGTGAGAGAGGCCTTGCTGGATTGATTCTAATCATCCACAAAACCAAATGAAGATTCAAAACTGACCTCAAGGGATCACCATACAAGGTTCAGCCCAAATAATACAAAGGAAAGAGCCCAATTCTAAAATAAAAATAAGAAGGGAGATGGAAAAGAAAACTTCCATAGTCGAGCCCATGTGAGTAGAGAAAATAATTGTGGACTATGAAAAACCAAGAGAAAACATAAGCTAAACATAGTGGAAAGTGGAAACAGAGTAAAATTGCGTAAAAAAGTCGCATATATATTAGTATAATAGTATTTACCCCATGACGTTAATACACAAAAGGGAAAAAATAAATTTTGATTCATATGCATTAGAATAAACAAAACTAAAGTGACAAATGTTATATTTTAGTCTTGGTGGCTTTTTTTTTGTTATAAAAGTCATAATACTACTGCAAAGGAATGTTATGGTT